GAATGGAGCACAGGTGGGGAATTGAGGTCCAATTGCTCCTGCAAAGGTATTCATACGATCTTCTTGTTCAACTTCACTCTTCACACCTCTTGTTGCTTTCACTTTTTGAATCTTTCTGTGTTGTTGACATGAAGCACAAATGGCAGACCTGTTCAGAGCTACAGTTTTCAAATGGAAGGGGCTTAAGGATGCCAGTACTGTTTGAGGTGGACATTAGGGAATCATATTGTATCTGAGTGATCAAGGCTGTTCCCTTGTACACAGGGCACTTCCCTATGAGAGGTGTGGCTGTGAGTTGCCAGCAGCCAATGCTGCCATCAGTTAGTGGGTGGGCATGTGGGTCCTAGGGAGGGGTCTGGGTGGAGGATCAGAATGTCCACTATGTGACAGAGTCCAAGCCCAAAGTACCTCACAAGACCCTACAGAACACTGGGCTTTATATATCAAACAAGGGAGAGTTATTTTAATATTTTTCAATAGGGAATGGATGTGATGAAATCTGTATGCTAGAAAGATGTCTTAGGGAGCAAGGTAAAGGTAGACACAAAAAGACAAGAACGGAGTAGTGAGGCTGGTTGGCAGGACACGGCAGTAGCCTACAAGATGGAAGATGATGTCTGAAATAAACATGTTGAGGTGGAAGGCTGGATTACTCAGAGGTCAACTCAACATGATTCAGGGATTTACCGGATAATCCAGATGAATTATAAAGCGAGAACAAAGATAACTCTCAAGATTGTGACTATAGGGATTAGGTAAAAAACTGATGTAGTTAAACAAAAATTGGGAATATGGAAAAAGGATCTGGCATTCTATGGTTTCAAGTTGATGCCACAGTGATGTCAGGAGGATTGTAAAGGCCACAGATGTCATCCGGCAACTGAGCCAGAACCCATCATATCACCTGCGTCCTCAGGTGATAACAGACTCATGGATCTATTACTCCTGTTGTGCATTGTTTTTAGTTAATTTATTCATGACATAAATATATGTTGATCATATTGCATATATCTTTTGGATACTATTGTAGATGATACAGAAAAGGTGCCTAAGCCCAAGTTTTACAGAGTACGCTAAGAACAGCAAGGATCTTTCATAATATTCTTGTGAACAAAGGGAAGAGACAGGCTCAAACCAGACAAGTCAGGGCACTGGTAAGTGGTTGGTGACCTGTTAAGTGGTACTAACTGAGAGACTGATTATCTTGAGGAAAGATCTTATCTAAGCTTGGTCTTTAGCCTGATTTTTTAAAACTATCTTATCAGTTATTTAGATAAAGACACAGAAGCTATGTTCATCATCTTTACTTTAGGAAGGGTGAATAAAATACGAAAGCATTATCGGTAATGCTTTCGTATTTAGATGAAAGAGCTGAGCCTAGAAGAAATTTAACAAAAAGAAAGATCAATTTGTATTTAGGGGAAAATACACTTGTAAAAGCACACAATTGGGGCAATGTGGCAGTCAAAAAAGCTAGTGTGATATTCGGAATTAGTAGCAGCACTGAAGCAAGAATGCTGGAAGGACTGACCTCTCCTACCACCACCAGACCTCACCTGCTCTCATGGTTTTAGATGGGGACATCTTGTTTTACAAAAGGTATCAACCACAGATAAAGCAGAAACGCTCAGGAAATCAGAGTATTGAAGACTTAAAGTTGTAATACATAAGGTCGTGTAGGAAATAAGAATACCATTAAGAAGTGTAGAATTATTTGGAGAGTATGTAGACAGATAGTAGGTCTGGGGAACACACCATTCTATCTTCAAATATTTGATTCAACACTAGTGGCCAGGATTGTATTTTAAATGGCCTCTTGGCATAGACCTGGAACCAAGAGGTAAAAATGTCAGAGCATGTCTCTAAAAAGGATGTGTTCCTCTTAATGTTTGTTTTTCTTACCAAATCTGCTCGCTCAATCACTTGGTAGGTATGTCGACAAAAAACTTAATTTTGGTGTAGAAAACCTTTGCAAAATTCCTTGAATCCTGTAATTCTGTAGTTTTGAAACCTGAAGACTTAAGGGCTACATTCAAGGACTAAGATGCTTCTGATCTCTTTGAGTTTGGTTCCAAATACACCAGGTCCTCCCTCGTGGCCTTCACTGTGCATTCCACCCACTGTCTCAGAGCTGGCACAGAGTCTTCAAGGCCAGGCGGAGTGAGAAACTCAGGGCTTCCATGCAGCCTGGCCTTGAGGTTCTGCAAACTGAGAAAGGGGAGGAAGTGAGTATTTCTAAGGCATTTAGTGCTTTGGCAGAAAAAAATATCCAAGTTTGCTAAAAGAAATAAATGTAAAGTTATCCTTTCGTTTTGACACAGCATCTGTGAATGCAAGTCTTTCTAGTGAGTCACTAAGTCAGCCACAATATAACCATTTCAGCTTACTAGGAATATTCTCTCTGAGTCACAGTAATATAATAATCTGAATTTCTAATTCTCTCAGTCACATAGCACATACTGTCTTTACTTCACAGACACATACTTTAATGTATTAAAGATAATATTGTTCTTGAATGCCATACTGTACAATAATATTATAGGTTAAAAAGATAATTTTAATCGATAAAAAAAATGTTCCAGCATCAGGTCCCTATTTCCTGATGATTCTTTTTTTCCCCTGTAGAAAATATGCAAAAATTAAACAATACATGACTCATTTATTAAAGTTCCCATGTTTTCGTTGCAAATTCCTAGCCAGGCTTTGGAAATGAGGCTTCTCTTCCTCTCTTCCAATAGTCTCTGAGTCACTAAGACTTCTAGATGTTGGCAGGAAGGCCTATTCCTCACAGCCGTACACTTGGGGAGGAAGGAATGAACGTAACTCTAGAAGTGGTGCTAGGAGCGAGGGGACTACCACTCTGAGATCCAGGCCCCCTCAGCTCAGCCCTGGGCCCTGTGATTTGCAGTGCTGTCTTGGGACTCAGCACGCTATAATTCATTCAATCTAGAATTGGGGCCTGACATTTCTATAAGTTACCAGATGATGTACGTTGCTGTCCTTGGACCAGGCTTTGAAAACCACTGACTTAGTACTTCCATTCTGTCTCTCCTTCAGAGAGACCCTCCCCACATGTGACCCTGGGTACTTGCCACAAGAGCCTGTGTCTTTCCTTCTAAGCCACACTCTGAGTTTCCAGACCCTAGAATTCCCTGCCCAGACATTCTCCAATACTTCTCCCAGGACTGTGCCCACCTGTCCCTAGTCTGTCCTCTTGATGGAAGACCCTGCACCACTGGGTATAAACCTGGATCTAAGGACTGACCAAAGTTTAGGCACTTGGGGGAGCTTTAGCTGTGCGGGCTGGAGGACACACAGAGATGTCCCCTGAGCAAAGCTGCTCCTAGCACAAGGTGGAGACCAGGGCACAAATAGAAAAGGGATCAGGGACCTTCCTTTGCCTTCTCACTGCAACAAGCGAATGTTGAGTAGTCCTGCCCTTATGTCACTTCATGTAAACGACAAAGAAAGGTGTCACACATCCCCGATTCTGAGACCGCAGAACCACAGGTGATTCTTGATGTTTGGATTTCATGAGAAATCATTGCATCTAGAGAGCTGTCCTTAGGGTGAAGAAATGATGTCCTCCCTCCAGGTAACCCTCTACACACTTTTCCCAATGACCACAGGGAACAATTCGTGTGCTTTAGGTGACCACAGATTGCAGCTGATATACCACTTCAACTTTCTGTGTGAATCTCCCCTGGGCCTCAGTTTCTTTAAGATGGGAATCTATCTTTAAGTGGGGGATGCCTCCCCACTCTCTACCACTTCCTTCTCATTTCCACCCAACTTAATTCTATTCTAATTTCAGCCTTAATCTCAAATGTCATCATCTCGGATTTGATCAGGTGCCTGTATCTAATCCCGAAGTCACTTTGCATTACACTTGCAACCATTTGTCCTTTAGTGTTTGTTTTGATTGATGTGTCATGAGCCCACTGGACTCTGAGAGCGCAGGGATCATCTCTCCTTAGTTTGCTGTTGTGTCCCTTCTGTCTGGCACAGAGGTTGACACACGACAGATGCTAAATCCACATTTGCTAAAGCAGTGGTTCTCAACCTTCCTCATGCTGCGGCCCTTTAATACAGTTCCTGTGGGTCGTGACCTACAGGTTGAGAACCTGCCAAAGGAATATGTGATTATTCACTAGAGAAAAGATGCTAAATGACCGGCAGACAGTAGGTGCTTAGTACGCGACACTGATTATTTTTCAGTAGCTCACACTCTAAATAAAACATGTGATTTTGTTTCCTTATACTTGATTCATAGCGGAGAAAGAGGTGAATTTGGGACAACTACAACTGAACTGTCCAAGTCAAGAAAAAATGTGATGTGATAAGCCACTGGCCTGAACATGACACACTTTTTAAAGACTTCAGAAATAAAATGCTCACAGTTTAAAACAAAGGATAATAAATACAAGAAAAAGTTGTATTTTCCAGATTTGTTTGCCCCTGTAACCCAAACCACAAAGACTGCGTCTTTTTCAAAAGCACCTGGTGACAGCATTTCCCACCTTCATGTTCACACCCACTGTCACTGGCCTCACCCTCCTGCTTCATGACTTGGGGATTATTTTTAACTGCCCCTTTAATATTAAGCCAACCCAAATACTCTCTTGTCAAATATTTCTGGGGCCTGTACTTGAAGAAAGAAACGATTTTCTCAAATCTGTGAACAGGACACTTTTTTTTCCCTTTAATGTCAAAATAAACCATCTGCTTGTACAACTGTTTCTAATTACTTCCCTGCCTAGACTCTCCACTGAGGGGTTTGGCACCAGCACCCCGCCCAGAGCAGAGCCGCTGCCCAAATCCTCGCAGGCAGCTCATCAAGGCAATCGAAACTCCCGGTGAAGTCCCGGACCTGCAAGCCTGGGTGTCGGCGTGTGCGTCTGCCCGGCCATCTGCTGGTGGCACCTCTCCCTCCCCGGCCCTCCTGTGTGAGCCCCACCTTGCAGGCCCGTGGCTCGCCCTGCTCAGCCCAGGAACTCAGCATGCGTCCCCAGGGCCTCAGGAACTTCTTGCTGCTGGCGTCCCTCCTTCTCTTTGCTGGGCTGTCAGCTGTTCCTCAAAGTTTCTCGCCATCTCTGAGGTAAGTTTGGTTTGTTATTCTTTCAGACAGACCTGCCCTGCTTATGTGGCAGGGCTCAAGTTTGCAGGATGACTGTCGTAAGCCAAGAGCATTGACTCTGTGGGATAAACTGTTTTCAACCTGTTCCTTTTCCTTTCTTAATATCTGCACTGTGGATGGCTTCATCTTTTGTCTTTTTGCTTTTCCTTTGGAAAAATACTAATCATTGAATAAAAACATTATTTTCTTCTCTGCAAGTGCATGTCAAAAAAAAAAAAATTCTGCCAATGGTTAAAGGTAGTCCTGGGAATCCCTTCCTGCTTTCTTAGCTTGGAAGGCCACATTATTTCTGTTTCCTAATAGCATAGACACGAGTGCTGTATGACAGTTGGTGTTGCATTTTGAAAAAGATTTTGAAGTGCATTGCAATCGCTAAACTAAACTTTCTAAAAGTCAAGTTGTAAAGCCCGCTCATTCTAAATTTCAAAAAACAGAGTGCCCTATCCTTTCATAGCATGTATAACTCTCTATATACTCATCTCTTCTTTTTCATAAAATAACTGCCCCCCCCATCATCAGTTAGAAACGGAACATTTTTAAAAAAGAGAACTGAAGTGGAAAGACAGCCTAGCGCTGTACTTTGGATTAATCTGCATTTAATCTAAATGTGCATATGTGATTCAGGGACAAATAGCCTACGGGCAGGGCTGGATCATCTCTGTCACCCGGGAAGAAGGTGCTATGCTCACGTGGGCAAATCCTTCCTTAGAGTGACATTTTGGGGCATGGTCGTTTCTCAAGTGGGTGGCACCTGTTTGCTTGGGGGAGACAAAGCCTCTGCCCCCCAAGAAATGTAGGTCTCAGGCTCCTGTCTGTGAGGAGGAAGGTCGCCATTTGGAGGGACCCGGGGGAAGAGCGTGGCTCGCATTAGAGGGGCAGCGACTGTGTCTCACCTGGCCTGGCCCTGGCATTTGTCCCCCTCCCCCACCCCACCCGCAGGAGCTGGTCGGGCGCCACCTGCAGGCTGTCGCGGGCCGAGTCGGAGCGCCGGTGCCGCGCGCCAGGGCAGCCGCCAGGGGGCGCGCTGTGCCACGGCCGGGGCCGGTGCGACTGCGGCGTGTGCATCTGCCACGTGACCGAGCCGGGCACGTACTTCGGGCCCCTGTGCGAGTGCCACGACTGGGTGTGCGAGACCTACGACGGCAGCACCTGTGCAGGTAAGGGGGCGGCGCTGTCTCCCCCCCCCCCCGGGGAAGCCTGCCTCTTCTCAGAGGGGCGACGGGCGGGACACCCCTTCCTTCAGATAAACACCAAGTAAGTTACTACTGGGGGAAGGTCGCTCTTTGGCGGGTCAGTTCTGAAATCGCTTATTACCATCCTTTTCTCTCCCCCTACCGTCCCGATGCAAACTTAAATAGAAATAATATTTGTCAGTTTTGTTCACTTAATTGTCACTTCTCTCCCTTTAAGTTCCTTATTGTAGCCTAAACACCCCGAGGTCCTCACGAATAGTTCCTTGGCTGGGCTCTCCTACCGCTATCAGGAATGTTAATCATAATATTTGCAGATCGTAGCCTGCGTTTAATTTTTACCTAGGAAACACAAGGGGGTATTATTTTCTTGGATTCCACTGGGGCCGCTTGTGTCTGTGTTGTGCTCTTTCATAACTTAGGACGTAGTTCACGGGCAGGGGCGCGTGTTAGGAAACCGCTATCAAGGAAGAAAATAAACACGCTGGTATTTACAATTGCTCTTGTATTGTTTTTAGTTCCTTGACGTTTAGCTGTAGGGAAACTTGGTATTTTGTAAGGGTGGAGCGAAACCACTTTCATTTCTCTGGTACATTTTGAAGGAATAATTGAGGTTCTGATTTTGGAAGAGGTCACATTCCTTGGTAGAGAACATCCTTAACCTCTTTACCTGTTTCATGTAAATGTGTCATTTACTTACGGCCAAGAACCTCAATTAATTTCTTGTGAATGAGATAGGAATTCCATTCCAGCTAGGGTTTGGCAAATTTGTAGGAAAAAAACGGCAACTTATTTTCTTCTCAGTGGAGCTAAGATTCATAAGACGTCCAACACTAACACAGGTCCAGAATGAGTTTATAGCAAAATGTTTTTTTCTTGGCACCTGGGCCCAGAAGTGCATGGTGAAAATACTTAACACGCAGGCTGTTTGGCAGGGGAGAAAATAGTCGAGGGGGAATTCAGAGGGGCAAGGTGCATCCATGTGGCTTGTTTACCCTGTGAAGGCTGCGGTTCAACCCTATAAAAATACTGAATGCTGGGACTTGTTATTTAACTTGCTCAGTCTCACGGTTGCGGTAATATTAAGGGTAACCCCTTGTGGAATGAAAGTTAAGTATTGTCTTGCATTTCATTACAACTCAGCTGTTACTTGTTTTCTCTGGCTTTATTTGCCTCTGTTTTACTGCCTGGCCGACTTTGTTGTTTTCTCATAAAAGCATAGTTGCTACTTGTTTGCCTTACACAAAATGCAGTATGAAGTCAGGCAGGATTTTGTTTGGTTACATGTGCATTTCTGCAACAGTCGAAATGCAATAGCGAGGCCGAGGCCGAATGAACTCACTGTGTTCATTTTCCCGTCTCACTTGGCTCCCAATGACCGTGGGGGATTCTATGGTCCAAACAGATTCTGTCCCTGTGCATGCTTTGCTAGGCCTGAGCATAGCACAGTGGGCCACCTCGCCAACTTGCTGCTGGTCCTGTGGTTCACAATGAGCTTCTCCATTTTATTTTCAACAAAGAGCTCCAGTTTTATAACTAGTAAGGTGGAAACATCGCAGGTTGGCTATTTTTATGTGCACCTAGGCATTTAACTCTATGATAAGCCCTTTCCAGAGATAGGGTAACTTCCAGAGATCTCTCTAACATCCACGAGGGAAGTGAAACTTCACTCTGGTGTCATCTATCATAGAGTGATTAAGGGTTCTGGGGGAGGGGAGAATTCTCCAAATTCAAATCCAAGTCCCACAACTTATCAGCTGTGTGGACTTGAGCAGTTACTTAAATATCCTGAGCTTTGATTTCCTCACCTGTGAAATGGGTAATACTAGGAGTAACTATCTAGTTACTAGATAGAATTGTTACTAGAATTCTAGAATTCTAACTATCTAGTTACTAGAATTGTTGTGAGGTTTAATGTATGTAAAACACTTAGAATAGTGTGTAACATAAAGTGCTTCTTCAGTGTATGCTAATATGTTTTTATGTAGATAACATACTATGTTTACAGTGATTCATAAAAGATGGACTAGGATGGGTGGATGGGTGGATGGATAGGTGGAGTGGTGATGGGTAGAAGGAGAGGTAGCCTGGCCTGTGTTTACATTGGGTATTTGATGCAGAGAACAGTTTGGTTTGTTTTCATGTAGTTTGAGCCTGTTATTGATTCAAAGCCCCAAAAGTCAAGCAAGGATAACTATCCTGGCCCCGCCTCAGAGCAGCTGTATTAGATACACTATGCCCTTTTAAAATTAAGTCCATTG